AACTCACTGTCTCCTGGTGATTGTCCCAAACTCATCCAGCCGGCTTCCATGCCCAATGCAGGACTAGAACTCACTGTCTCCTGGTGATTGGCCCAAAGTCACTCAGCAGGCTTTCATGTTTAAGGGGGACTAGAACTCACCGTCTCCTCTAAGTTGGACTAGAACTCACTGTCTCCTGGCGATTGTCCCAAAATCATCCAGCCGGCTTCCATGCCCAATGCAGGACTTGAACTCACTGTCTCCTGGTGATTGGCCCAAAGTCACTCAGCAGGCTTTCATGTTTAAGGGGGACTAGAACTGACCGTCTCCTCTAAGTTGGACTAGAACTCACTGTCTCCTGGCGATTGTCCCCAAATCATCCAGCTGGCTTCCATGCCCAATGCAGGACCAGAACTCACTGTCTCCTGGTGATTGGCCCAAAGTCACCCAGCTGGCTTTCATGTTAAGGCGGGACTAGAACTCACCATCTCCTCTAAGGTGGACTAGAACTCACTGTCTCCTGGCGATTGGCCCAAGGTCACTTAGCCCAGCTCTTATTTCTAAGGTGCGGCTAGAACTCCCTATCACCTGGTCATTGGTCCAAAACCTCCCAGCCAGCTTTCATGCCTGAGGCAGGACTAGAACTCACCGTCTCCTGCTTTCTAGTCTGATGCTTTAACCACTAGGCCAAAATGGCTCTTTATCATTTTCCTTCTGGAACATGGTCCAAAATTGGGATGAAGGGAGAAACTGAAAAAGACGAACAGGAAGTCTGCGGAAAGCCTGGAAAGGCCACGCTAGGCGTGGGGCGTGAAAAAAAACGAAACGGGATTGTTGACTAAAGGAGAATTTAAACAGGCCTCGCTGTTGAAAAGTTCAAAGGAACAATAAAAAAAATAAAGGATGGGATAAAATCTAGTAATCTCAACTCTGTGCTGAGAAAGGGGATTGCACAAGGCCCGTTGCGCAATTGGGCCCAGCAATTATTTGCCTAGATTTCTTATCAAAATGGACATATAGCATATAAAAATTCTCCACCGGGCTGACGATGTCCATGTATTTGCATGACACAACACGCTTAGCCCTAAAACCCGAGTTAATAAATCACAGCCACGTTTATAGGAGGTGCCCTACCCAGGGAAATAAACCCTATTATTTTTCCCCTCAACTGCAAACTGCTCAAACCCAATTTTAAGAAGAAATTCCCTCGAGATTTAGGCCTGGGTTAGAACACAATACAATACAGGTAGGAATCAGGGGTAGGCAACCTTGGCTCTTTTATGACTCATGGACTTCAACTCCCAGAATTCCTGAGCCAGCCATGCTGAGGGGAAAGGGAGAGGTTTCCAAGCTGAGCCATGCTGGCTCAGGAATTCTGGGAGTTGAAGTCCACGACTCATGAGGGGGCCATAGTTTCCCCGTGCTGCCTCAGGAATTCTGGGAGTTGAAGTCCACGAGTCATGAGGGGGCCATAGTTTCCCCATGCTGGCTCAGGAATTCTGGGAGTTGAAGTCCACGAGTCATGAGGGGGCCATAGTTCCCTCATGCTGACTCAGGAATTCTGGGAGTTGAAGTCCGCAACTTATGAAGGGGCCATAGTTCCCCCATGCTGGCTCAGAAATTCTGGGAGTTGAAGTCCACGAGTCATAAAAGAGCCAAGGTTGCCTACCCCTGGCCGAGGAGGCTCACCGCTTAGAACAGGAGGACTTAGGCCAGGGGTAGGCAACCTTGGCTCTTTTATGACTGGTGGACTTCAACTCCCAGAATTCCTGAGCCAGCCGCGCTGAGGGGAAAGGGAGAGGTTTCCAAGCTGAGCCATGCTGGCTCAGGAATTCTGGGAGTTGAAGTCCACCAGTCATGAGGGGGCCATAGTTCCCCCATGCGGGCTCAGGAATTCTGGGAGTTGAAGTCCACAAGTCATAAAGGGGGCCATAGTTCCCCCATGCCGGCTCAGGAATTCTGGGAGTTGAAGTCCACCAGTCATAAAAGAACCATGGTTGCCTACCCCTGTGTTAGAAGCAGCAAATCTGCCTTGTTTATGACCTTCAAACAAAGACAATATTAAGACAATATTAAGTCCTCGACTTAATAATTTGTTTAGCCACCTTTAAAAGTTACGACAGTGAGTTTTAAAGTCCTCGCCCTTACGACTGTGGCAGCATCCTGATGGCTACCTGCTCAGAAATTTGGGCACCTGACAACCGGCGGTGTGTTTACGATTGTTCGCAGCATCCCAGGATCCAGTGATCACCATTTGCGATCTTCTTAGCCAGCGTCGGTCAAGTAGAGTCAATGAATTTGCTTTGTGTCAACATACAGGAAGTCCTCAACTTACTACCACAATGGAGTCCAAAATTTCTAAGTGAAACCTTTGTTAAGTCGGTTTTGGCCCATTTTACAGCTTTTCATGCCACAATTAAGCAAATCACTGCAGCTGTTAATAACCTGGTTGTTAAGTGAATCTGGCTTCCCCCCCACTGACTTTGCTTGTCAGGTCACAAAAAGGGGATCACCCAACCCCGGGACACTGCAACCGTCGTAAATATGAGTCAGCTGCCAAGCGTGTGAATTTTGATCACATCATCATGGGGCTGCTATAAAGGTCGTTAAGTGTGAAAAACGGTCGTTAAGTCCCTTCTCTCAGTGGCGTCGTAACTTTGAACGGTCGCTAAATGAACTGTTGTTAAGTAGAGGACGGCCTCTAATCCGTTCGAGAACTGCGGTGATTTGCTTAACGTCTGTGGCGAAAGAAAAAAAAAAGGTAAAATTGAGCGCAACCCACTTAGCAGCTTTGCTCAGCAACGTAAATTTCGCTCCCAATTGCGGTCGTAAAACGAGGACTGTGTTCATTGCCCAGGATCTATGTGAAAGTTGCACAGCTAGTCCGATAAAACCTGAATAGAAGTCCCTGGCTGCGTTGCCACATTTCCGCAGGAGTGACAAAAGCCGTGTTTTTGCTCCCCGCGGCTGTTGCAACCGAACACGCCCCCATAAAGTGTGACATCTGTGCGATGCACGGACTCGGTTGCCGTGACCCTCCAAATTAAAACAGGCCTTGCTTTGAAGAATATTCGGAACATCTGAGCCCCCCCCCCTCTCCCCTTCCAAATCAAAACAAGGCAAGCCAGAATCGATGCAATATGAGCTTTAATTGTATTCCATTTTAATGTTACTGTACAAGGAAACATTTACAATGCTTTGGTTATTTCTCTATTTACATGGGCCGGCGGGGGCTCCCCCCCACCCTCTCGCTGCTGGCCAGATGTGTTTCTGCACCAGAAGAATAAAAAAACAAAAAGAAACCCAGAAAAACCCGCACTATTTTTTATTTTTTTTTGACTTCTTACTGGGCTGATTTTTTTATTATTTTTGGTAAGCGCTTCAGGTGGGCTGGTTCAAATAGCTTTATTTTTATTATTATTATTATTTTTGCAACTCTGCATTTTGAGCGAGCGCCTTCTTCCCACCTGGAAATCCGGGTCCTCAAAAGAGAATTGCCAGTAAACAGACATCTGTGGTATCTTCCCCCGTTCCCAACACATTAACAAACTCCTCGCTAACCCTCTTCTCCGACGTACATTGTGCTTTTCTGTGCTTCCCACAACGGTTGCATCTTCTGATGCCTTTCAAAAGACTTTGTCCCCTTATCGCAAACTTTGTCCTTTTATCACAAACTTTGTCCCTTTATCCATCTTCTGTAACCCCCCTTCTTCTTCCTTCCCCTTCCAGCAGTTCAAATTCAATCTGCTGAGGTTAATTAACCCTCCTCCCAACAAACTTCAGATAGCCAATTCTTGACCACTGGAGCTCCACTCTTGACAATGGAGAGGAAAGCTCTCTCTCCTCGGACCGATTCCAAAAGGTCCCCAGATCTGTTGGAAGGTGGCAACAGCGGTCTGTTTCCCCTTCCACGTTATCTAGGGCTTGGTTCCGCCCGTTTTATAGTTCTGAATTGGCTTTAAAAAGGTCTGAATCACAAATGGTGATACCAGCAGCACTCACGCATCAAGACAAGGAAAACAAAAATAAAAAATAAAAATAAAAGGTCGGTTTTGAGAAAGAAACGACCTGGAAATCAAAGTACAAAAGGAAGGGTCTACAAAAGTTTTCAAATAATATTTTTTAAAAAAACAAACAAAGAGAGAGAGAGAGAGAGAGAGATTAAATATGGGGCGTAGCAATTCACAGAAGGAAAGGACACCACCAAGTATAGAATTCCAGTCATTCAAATGGAAACTTGTTGAACCTGGGGCCTTTTTCTCAGGGACGGTTCAGCCCTTAGACCGTGTCAATCTAGAGAAGCGTTTCTCAACTTTTGACAACTTTAAGATGGGTGGACTTCAACTCCCAGAATTCTGGGAGTTGAAGTCCACCCATCTTAAAGTCGAGAAATATTGCTCTGGGAGAAAAATCGATAATTGAGACTCTTTCTGTTGACACAAAGAATCAGAATCACGAAGAGACACAACGCCCCCCCCTCTAAAATTCCAATTTCTCAATGAACAATTTCTTTTTTTTAAAAAAAAGAGCCAATTCGTATTGGGAAGGGAAATTTTAAAAAGGTTGCAGCCCTCCGGAGAGGGCTTTGACTTCCCGATAACAGTAATATATACAGAAGGATCGAAACCTCTGGAATCTGCGGTTACCGTCCAGAAACCCCTTAATTTTCCTTCCCACCCTAAACACTCCCCCCCCAGGGATCAGACACCGGTGTTCAACAATGTTTGCGGGAAAAACCAGTAGCTGCCTTTAAAATAAGAAAGAAAGAAAGAAAGAAAGAAAGAAAGGAAGGAAGGAAGGAAGGAAGGAAGGAAGGAAGGAAGGAAGGAAGGAAGGAAGGAAGGAAGGAAGGAAGGAAGGAAGGAAGGAAGGAAGACCAAGATTCACATGTATTACAAAAAGATCAACCAAGAAAGAAGAAAGAAGGGCCTCCACCATTCTCACATTACAGGAAAGAAAATGTACACTTTTATTTATAAATAAAAGAGCGGGAGGAAAAAAACAAAAAAAGGGGGGGGAATGGCCTCGCTCCCGCTTTTTTAAACCAGAGTCTCTTTCCGTTTGATGCTGAGCTGGCTTTTGTCCCGGCTCCTCCGGAGCCCTGAATGCATCCTGTAGCTTTTGACGTTCTTCATCTCTGACGCCGTGTCGGCATCGGCGACGTTCTCGCCGAGCTCCGCGCGGAAGCTGCCCGACCCGGAAGTCTGTCTCCTCTGGATCTTGGCACTGGATCCGAAAGGGTGGTTCTCTTCGCCTTCCTCGCTCAGCTCGGGCAGGTCTTTGAGGTCGAAAGGCACGGGGCTGGGCTGGAAGGGGCCGATGGCCGCCTGGATGCAGTTGAACCACTGCTGCTTGTGGAAGATGTCGTTGGCCTGCAGCGTGTGGGACTGGCCCGAGGCGGAGTCCCGGAATCGGACCCGGAAGATGTTTTTGGCTGGAAAGCAAGCAAGGAGGGAAGGAGGTTTACCGACATGCTCAGGTCATTTTTTTTCTCCCACCTCCGGAACGCAAGTGGACTTTCTTTTTCATGTTCTTTTGAAAAGGTTTCGCTTGTCATCCAAGAAGCTTCCTCCGGTTCTAACTGATGCCACAGCTGAAGTTCTGGAATGGATGTTAGAACCGGAAGAAGCTTCTCGGATGAGAAGCGAAATGTTTTGGGGGAAAAAACCAAAACCCGAGAAAGGCCAGATTCAAAATGTTTCGTTCTCATCAAAGCAGTCTCTTCATTTCTGTCTGATTTTTAGAACCGAAGTTCTAGAACCGATGTTAGAATTGAAGCAGTTCTAGAACCGACGTGAGACCTAAAGAAGCTTCTTGGACGAGAAGCGAAACGGTTTTTTGGGGGGGGAATAAGAAAAACCAGATTAAAAACGTTTCACTTCTTATCCAAGTCTCTATAGTTCTATCTAATGTTGGAACTGAAGAAGTTCTAGAACCGATGTTAGAATGGAAGCAGTTCTAGAACTTATATGAGACCTGAAGAAGCTTCTTGGATGAGAAGCGAAACATTTTGGAAAAAACTCAAGGAAGACCAGATTAAAAACGTTTCGCTTCTCATCCAAGAAGTTCTAGAACAGATGTTAGAATGGAAGCAGTTCTAGAACCGACGTGAGACCTGAAGAAGCTTCTTGGATGAGAAGCGAAACGTTTTGGGGAAAAAAAAACCCAACAAAGACCAGATTAAAAACATTTCGCTTCTCATCCAAGACGTCTCTTCAGTTCTATCCGATGTTGGAACTGAAGAAGTTCTAGAACCGAGGTTAGAAGGGAACCGGTTCTAGAACCGATGTTGAGACCTGAAGTAGCTTCTGGGAAGCGAAGCGAAACGTTTTCAAAGCAAAGACCAAGAAAATCCAGTGGGCCTTTTGGGAAAAGCACTTTCGGGACAAGGAGAAGGATGTTCTGGTCAACTCTTGAAGGACACATCGGGTGTGGGCTCCTGGTTGGGAATCTCTTCCAGAAAGGTCCTGAAAAGGGTCTTCGATAGAGATGGGCTTTTAGGGGGATGAATCTAGAGGATGTCCCTCTTGCTGTTTTTAGGGATCCCTGAAAGAATGTGCCAAAGTAGGGGAAAAGTGGGGTTGGGATGTCTGGGGAAACGAAAGGACCCAACCTTCTGAAGAACATTGCAGGATTCAGAAGCTTCCCTCGACAGATCAGCCTCTAGATTAAGGGCAGGCGCTAAAGGAGGAGGGGGCTGTTTTCCCTCAGAACCATAGAGCTGGAAGGGACCTTGGAGGTCTTTTAGTTCAACTCTCTGGTCAAGAAGGAAACCTTATACCGGGGGGGGGGGGGGTCTTCCAACTTGGCCCTTTTATGACTTGTGGACTTCAACTCCCAGAATTCCACAGCCAGGCACGTGTACCTGGCTGAGGAATTCTGGGAGTTGAAGTCCACAAGTCATAAAAGGGTCAGTTCCCTCACGCTGGCTGAGGAATTCTGGGAGTTGAAGTCCACAAATCATAAAAGGGCCAAGTTGGAAGACCCCTGCCTTATATCATCCCAGACAATCTCTTCTCAAAAGCCTCCGGTGATGGGAGCATCCACAACTTCTGGAGGAAAGTCGTTCCACCGATTAATTCTTCTGACTTCCTCCTTAATTCTAGCTTGGATCCCTTTTTGACCAGCTTCCCGGCTGTTACTTCTTGTCCTGCCCTCAGAGGCTTTGGAGAATAGCCTGACCCTCCCCTCTTCTCTGGGACAGCCCCTCAAATATTGGAATCCTTCCTACCTACCTTTATCTGAATTGCCAAAGGCACCTCGGAACGACCCGCCCATTTTGACATCTCCATCTTGCAAGTCTTCCAGGACCAGGTCTTGGACCGGGATGGGCTGCCGATACACTTGGTAAGAATGGCGCTCGTTCCGTGTCACGGGCCGGGTGAGGACCAGGACTTCTTGGAAAAGGAAGATGTAGAGCTTCTGGAAAGAAGAGAAGCGAGGAGGTTTTAAGTGAAATTCAGCCACAATCAAAGAGAGGGAAGTATATATTTCTATGCAAGCGAAAAGATTTTGGAGCGTTCTGCTGTCACACGCACAGACACACACCAAAATAAACCATCATTTAATCACCAAACATTTGCTTTTAGATCGGGGTTGTCGAATCTTGGCCATTTGAAGAATTGTGGACTTCAACTCCCAGAATTCCCCAGCCCAGCAGGCATATAGTCACCCTGTCAAAGGTAATGTGCGGATGGGGAATTTGAGGAGTTGAGGTCCACTCGTCTTAAAAGTGTTTGGAAAACACCCCTCTAGATGGCCTGCAATAGGATGTGGCAGTCAAAGGTACCCCTGATGGTCTTCAGCTACCAGTCCTTGCTAAAAAAAAAAAAAAAAGTCTATAAAAAGATATTGAGATTCTAGAAAGAGTACAAAGAAGAGCAACAACGATGATCAGGGGACTGGAGGCTAAAACATACAAGGAACAGTTGCTGGTATTGGGCATGTCTAGTTTAATGAAGAGAAGGACGAGGGGGGACATGATAGCAGTCTTCCAGTATCTCAGGGGCTGCCCCAAAGAAGAGGGAGTCAAGCTATTCTCCAAAGCGCCTGAAGGCAGGACAAGAAGCAACGGATGGAAACTCACCAAGGAGAGAAGCAACCTAGAACTAAGGAGAAACTTCCTGACAGCTAGAACAATTAACCAGTGGAACAATCTGCCTCCAGAAGCGGTGAACGCTCCAACACTGGAAGTTTTTAAGAAATGGTATAGGGTTTCCTGCCTGAGCAGGGGGTTGGACTAGATGACCTCCAAGGTCCCTTCCAACATTATTATGGATCATCGCACAGTCAGCCAGATGTTCAGACTGGATTTGGCATTTTGTCTACCTAGCGAGTCCTTCCCAAGGATCCGGGATAGACAGATGTGGATGTTTGATGGTATTACAGATCTCGTCGCAGGATGGAAGCAGTTCCTAGTAAGGCCGCCTTTTGCAATTGACTAATGACAAATTTGTCAATGCCAATGGTGTTCAAGTGGTGCTCCAGTTGTTTTGGGATTATTATTATTATTATTATTATTATTATTATGGATCATCGCACAGTCAGCCAGATGTTCAGACTGGATTTGGCATTTTGTCTACCTGTCGAGTATTATTATTATTATTATTATTACTACTACTATTATTATTATGGGTCTCCAACCTCGACAACTTTTAAAGGCTTGTGGACTTCAACTCCCAGAATTCCTCACTCAGCCAGGTTGCCAAGTTTGAAGACCCCCGGCTGTAATGGAAAAGATGAAGCTGACCAATGAGAAAAATGTGTTGTTTATAGCCGAGAACAAAAAGACGAACTCCATCTTTTATTTCTGCAAAGCAGCCCTAAGTAAATATTGATAGAACAGCCTTTAAATGTTTTTTTCCTACCTGACGGCTGCGGGCCCAAAAGGCCACTTAATAAAGTACATTGTCCTCTC